AACTCGAAATATAATATTGAAACTTGAACTCGAAAAGGCTTGAACTAAAAAAAATTAGAATCTCGATTGAAGCCTAAAATTCGAGCTTGATTGAAGTGAAATAATAGTTCACTCAATGCTCACCAAAAGACTCAATGATTTTGAATGTCAAATTACCTCTATTATTTATAGAAGTTAATTGAGATTCTCTTTTATGTTTCTTAGCTATGTGAGATTGTTTTGTTCTCATATTTTTATTCTTTAGGACTTTGGGATGTCTTCTATGTTTCTTAGCCTTGTGAGATTGTTTTAAAAAAATTAAACCAAACAATATCATTTGTTATAATTTTCTTAGCCCAAATTTATTTTTTAATATAGTATATAATTTATTTATTATTTAATATATTTTACCTTAAATATTATGTTGTAGTTAATTTGAATCATTTTGTTTCACTTGATTTTATGGTTTTTAACTTATATATGTTATGACTTGCTTTGAATATGACTTGTGATATAAAAAATTATTTTTTTATTAAATATTTTTGGTATTTTTATTTAATTTTTAAATAATTATGACGTCGTCCGGTTCTTCCGACCGATCGAACCGGTTCGACCGGTTAAACCAGTGAACTGGTAGCATGACCGGTCCGATTCTAAAAACCATGAAAATTAATGAAAAATAAATAAATTTCAAAGTTAACACATACCCTAAGTTAAAGTGAATCTGCCACTGAGTCAAGTTGTTTATGATAACAATTGGGAAATCTTTTTAAAATCTATAATGATCATATTTAATGTAAGAATGATAAAAAACTGGGTTGACATTTGAACTGCAAAATATATGAGATGACCCACCAACCATATACTATAATCATGTCAAATTTCATAATCAATTGGATATTGGGAGGTGTATATGCATGAAAAGTTGCCTGAAAATGGAACTAAATTTGAAACCTAAAGTTGAAGAGGAGCTTTTGGGAGTGAATTGAGGGAAATCTGGTTGAATTTGGTGATTATATTAGGGTTAATTTGATAAATAATAATATTAATTTATTGTTAGTGGAAGTTATGGTTGGAATCCTTTTTGGTGTAAGAGGCGATGTAACGTGAGGATTGCGGAATTTTAATCTTCTCAAATAAACGCCTAATAATAACAAAAACATGTAAAAATAATAATGTTTTACGATAAAATTTTTTACAGATTTTATTAAAAAAATAATAACAAATCTAATAATACATTTTCTTAACAGTATATTAAAGCTGCATCACGTTACACTTTCTATTTTACAAGTGGATCTGACATTGAAAAAAATGAGTGGGATTTGAATTCATATGGATAGTGTTTGGGAATTTAAATTTTACGAGTAATAAAATGTTTTAAAATATAATATTTAATATTGTCTTTTAAATTTATATATTTGTTAGATACTTATTTAATAATATTTTTAAATTTTTTAATATAAATTTGGATGTGATGAATTTATATTTTTATACCTTTTCAATTATATATTGTATTCAACTTTAGTTATTTATCTTTAATACATATATCTATTTTTTTTAAAAACGACAACTAGACTTTATTAGTAAAAATAATAAAAATAATCATAATTACAACACACTCAATAACAGGGAAAAGATGAGAACAATAATCATTAAAAAATTCATATAAAATTAAAAATATTAAACTTAGAGAGAGGATATAATTATACGTGAACACAAATAAACCAATCAGAAAATAAATGTCGTGAGGGTTTTTGTGCGAGCATCTAAACGACAACAAATGTATGGGAAAAATGTACAAAAAGATCATTTACAAAACTACATTCTCATGTTTGATTCACAAAAAAATCATTACTAAGTAATCATTTATTGCCAATAATAACAGTTTTGGTTAAAATAGTAGGAATATTATTACCTCTAAATTCTCAGGTATTACATAGTTACTGCCACTTTGGACAAGAATACTCTTGGAATAATGAATTATTTTCGTATGAATCATTTACAATTGTATTCTTCGTGTTTTACTCAAAATTATAATAATAATATACAAAAAGTTTGATTTAGTAAAATATTAATAAATTTGAGTAGTTAAAGTTATTTTTTATTTTTAATATTTAATATATTAACCATTTATAGTTTTACGAGGTGAACAAATGATATTATTGTAAAAAATATAATTATTTAAAATAATATCTAAATTTGAGTTATTAAAAAATAGATCTTATACATTGGAAAACCATATCTTTGTTCACTAGAGACCATAATATTATTCTTTTTATAATATATTATATTTTATATAAATAAATATGATACTTATTAAAATTATTTAAAAAATAAGTTTGATACTAATTATATTAATTACATGCTAAATTTTTTCTTAAAAGTTAGATAGTGTAACAATTAAATATTTATATGAATTTTATTCAAATTTTTATTATTGTTTAACTTGCTAAAAAAAACATATATCTCAAGGGTAATTTAGTAAAATGTACATTCAAGTAATCTTATATTTTCCCAACCAAATATCTTTTATAATATATTATATTTTATATAAATAAATATGATACTTATTAAAATTATTTAAAAATATAAGTTTGATATACTAATTATATTAATTACATGCTAAATTTTTTTTCTTAAAAGTTAGATAGTGTAACAATTAAAATATTTATATGAATTTTTATTCAAATTTTTATTATTGTTTAACTTGCTAAAAAAACATATATCTCAAGGGTAATTTAGTAAAATGTACATTCAAGTAATCTTATATTTTCCCAACCAAATATTGTAAACTTACATTCATACTAAACAAACTAAACAAGATAATATAATATTTCCAAAGTAACGTTACATCCCAATAATCTTATTCCCAAAAGTAATCTTACATTCCATGAACTAAATGCCCCGTAAGTATCGTGCTGCAAAAACAGAGAAAAACGTGTCACAAATATAAATATTCTTAGGTTAAAGAGAAAAAAAATAACACATAGATATTAAAGAAAACTTAGGTTAAAGAAAAAAAGAAGACGACAACAAATTCATTTCATTCTTAACATTTATATAACAAATGAAATAATAATAATAAATACTTACACATATAATATTGAATCTTAGTTAGGGATGTGTATGGGTTGGGTTTGGTTAGATTTTTGGTCAACCCGAATCTATTTGACCCAAAAATTATACACCTTCCACCCAATTCGAAAAATATACACCATTTACTCGATTAGAACCCAACTTATCTTTTTGAGATAAAACCCGAACCTGACTTGACTCGCCTCAAAATAATATATTTATAAAAAAAATATTTTTATTCAAATAAAATAAGAATTTAATTAAAAATATATATAAATGAATATTATTGTAATTATTTCTAAATATGTAAGGTAAAATTACATTCTTTTCGTTATGATATTTTTCACTCTAAACTTGAATATAACCTTTAAAAAACTCAATCCAAACCCATTTTTTTTAAATCCAACCTAATCTTAGCATTTACAAAAAAAAAAAATCGAAATCGAAATTTTAAGATTCAAGTTTTCAATAGGGAGCATTAAGTAACTTTTTCTTTTATGGGATTCAAATTTACTTAAAGTCGTTTATTAAAAATTACGGCATGTGATTTGAATTGTTTATATATATATATATATGAATTACTTATATTTCTTACATTTTTATTTAATGATCTAAATAAAGATTAATTCGTAAGACCATAAAGACAAATCTAAAACTTTGCGACTAAAAAATATAAGTACGTAATTTTCGTGGATATATTTTTTACGAATCCAGACACGCAAATATTTTTTTATTATTCCAAAAGTTGAATATCCGTGCCTTTTTATACAAAAAAAAAAAAGACCGGGTTTTGAACACCAGTAGACCCGACCCTTTTTGGACAATTCGAAAGCCCATGCTACCTTCGAATTTACTCGTGGATTTCATTAACCCACCATTTCCTAGAATTGAAGGCCTAGATAGAACTATACTACTATTTTACGTTAATCAAATTATTCAAGCGCTATAATATATTAAGATGTAGGTTTGGTTTATATGTTCTTATTTAATTATTTTTAGTTACTTTTTTCTTAAAAAATTAAAATTTCAGTCCACGTCTGTAGTTAAATCTATGAAATTAATTTCTATTGTTTTTTTAGATATATTGTTAGTTATTGTATCATGCCAAATAGTATATTTAATTTCCAATTTGGTCCTTTTATTTTCATATTATTTGACCATCTTGTCTATCTAATGAGTTATACCAAGTTGAATGCCTATGGCGCTGCTGGATCGAACCCTAGAGAGCTTGCTTGCGGGGTTTTTTGCAGGTATGGCAGCGCGTTTTGACACTTTGATTTCTATAGGAAGCTTGGTCGGAGGTACATATAAAATTCTGCCATTTACACAAATCTGGGCTTAGCATGGGAACATGGATGCAGATAGTTCATTGTTGAGTTAAATTCATGGTTGGCGGTCATACAATGATCTTCTATATCATCTAATCCATGACCGCAGACACTAAATATTGATTGGACTTGTCAACTTCCAATATGACCCAATCTTTAATCCTGCATATTATTTAACTGAATTTTATCCAGTAATACCAAATGAGAATGCAATGTAGCTAGGCAAGAAAATTGTGTCCATGCAATCCTATTTAACTTTTATAACTCAATTAAGCGAAGGGTGGTCCTGGCGACAAATGGAATAACCTGCGATGCTGCAACTTCAGCTGCCAGGCGGTGGTGAAGAGCCGATAGTGGAAGCAGTCCAAGTACGCAAGAAGCGCGTTTTAGTGAGGCCGGCCTGGGCGGCATATAGGGACCCTTCCTCCTTGTCTTTTCTTTTGGTTTTGCATTATTATCAAAACCATATATTTGTTTAATTACAATTTTAACATGTCCAGCCGAAATGTTGTTCAAGCGCTCAAGTTTAAATGACAGAGGACTGATCGGTCATTTTAGATGGGCCGTCCCTTTGACTTGGCGCCATCACAAAGATTTTGGTATTTCAGTCCCTCGTGGAAACTGGAAAACCCCGCACCGAAAACCTCACTCTGAGCGTTTTACTCGAACATAGCATAGCCCCATTATTAAATCAGTATCGCCGTTGCGCCGCCATGGGAACCTCCGCCACCGGGGCTACGTCAGCCCAAATCCTCCGTCATACCACTGCCTTCACCTCCGAAATGCTTTCCCAGTACGAGCTCCGACGCCAAATCTTCTCCGCCCTACGCTGCAAGCTTTTGCCTTCTGATCAACTCACTCTCAAATCCTTAAACCTTGCCGTCGAAACTCTAGAAAACGCCATTTCAGCCCCGAACGCCTCCACACAATCCTCCTCTCTTTCTCCTTGCTCAAAAGCTCCTCGTTTCCTATCCCGAAACGACCTTCTCGTCTTTCCTTCTATCCCTCATTTACTATCTTTCAAATCAAACCATCAATTCCTCCCTATGTCTCCTTCGAGTTTTCGACTTGGACCCTTCATTCGCTCGATCAGAACTAGCACCCACCCTTTTCGAAGAGCTCTTTCTAGTTCATTTTCTACCTGTTCTTCAACGGTTGAATGAATTAAGACTAATCATTTTGTCTTCTTTATCGCAAAATGCAAATCACGATGCCGATGATTATTCCATAAGTGATATATCGGTGGTCGTTCCATGGTCTAAATTGTTGTCGAAAATGAGTGGTGATCAAGCTCTGGAGTTGAAAGAATTGGAAAGAAATTACGAACAAATTCTGGATGAGAATTGCAGGGTTTTTGCTAGGTATTTCAAAGAGGTTTTAGAGAATTCTGATGAAAGCAGATCGGTTAATCCGCCGGAGTTGGTGTTTAAGCAAACAGAGAAAGGTGAAAAACTGGACTACCATGAGGATGAGAACATCAAAACCAAGGAACTTGGACTGGAAAACGGACGGTATAATGTAATATTGCTGTTGCTTTCGATCGACTGAATTTCTTGATTTTCATACATTTTCAAATTTGTTTATTTAACGTGCATGACCTACTCATATTTACCTATGGTTATAAATAAGGATAAAGTATAAAAATGGTAATAAATTATGTTGAAATGTTTTTGTTATTAAATTTTTAAAATTATAAAGTAATTATTGAATTGTTATAAAAGAATATTTATTAAAATTTATCGTTATTTTATATGTAAAGTTTAATTTATAATATTTTAATAAGTTGAATGATTTAAAAGGTACAATGATAAAAAAACATTGGTTTGTTTATTATATGCATGTGGAACATGTGGAATTTTTCCTATGGTGATTTGCTTTGACACTTTCTAGTCCAGGCTTCATTTGTTCGTATACATAAACATGTGCATAAAATATCATAAGGGAAGCAAAACCGCGTTTTTCTTTTCCGCCGTGTCCGTTTTGACTTTGGCTTAAATTTTGAATCAGTCAAGCAATTAGTATCGTATAAAAAAGGAAGACAATACTTTTCTCAATTTTTATATTTTACTACAACCAATATATAAAATGATACCTTTATTTAAAAAAAAATTAATCATAAAAATTGAAGAAAATAAAGCTTTATTTTAAGTAATTTTTATTATCCTCGAATTTCTTTTCTTTTGGAGGATTATCTTCAAACTCTAAACTTATATTATTTTAAAAATATATTGTTATATATATTCCGATTCTTAAAATTTTTAAATTATGTTTTCTTAATATACATTTTAGATACAATTTTCAATGTAAGCCTTTCTTTGTCTGCAACGCTAAACTAGGAGGAGGTTAGTTAAATGTTTTTCTTTATTATATTGATTGAATTATTCGAACTGGCTGCTACTTGAAATTTTAAATTATATTATTTTCATTATACTTCCAACTTGCAGAAAAAAATGATTATGATCTCTTCCTTCTGCACTGCATTTTATGGACATTCAAAGAGAGGTTTATTAAGTTTCTTTCTCATTTTTGGCTAAGGGAATGCATATTGTCATAAACTAGGTGTGAAAAGCGTAGGTTCTCCTCTGATAAAGAAAAGAAGAGCGTTGGTTCGCTGAAATCTGAATTCAACTTGACAATTCTTGGCTTACTCCAGTTTTTGTTGTTCTGTCAATGATTTGTGGTTTAATTTGCGCAGCCAATCTGGGATGAACAAGAAAGGTCAGTTGATTTTTCTAGCAGCAGCAGCAGCAACTCCAAGTCTCCGCCGTTTTATCCGCAGAGGGTGTCTGTAAATATCCTTAAAAAACAAGACTCTAGCACATCGGCAACACCGCCCTGTTTAGTTTCTGATTCTGAAACGGAGTCTCTTTCTGAGGACAATTCCGCCAACTCTTGTTCCTTCGAATCTGATGCCTATGTCGAGGTAATCTTCTCGTTACAAACAAGAAAACAAATCCCCACTCCCTAGGCTAAAACGTCCATGCATTTATTTTTAGTTTTGAAAAATATTCCGTTCTTGTCTTTGTAGGAAAACAACAGAGACGAAGCATTGTTAGAAAATGGAAATAGCCCAACGCGAAGACAAAAGCAGCCCGTCTTTGCTGATTCCTGTCGGTAAGTAATATTGAAAAACATTTAACAACCATTTTTTTACATATTGGCTACTTTATTTTTTGATATTTGGATTCTTCTTGATATCTATCAGCTCTCCTCATTATCTAATGGCGGATAATGGTAATCCCCCTGGCAGTGGCAAACATACGCCTCCCAAGGATTTTGTTTGCCCCATCACAAGCCATTTGTTTGATGATCCAGTCACTCTTGAAACAGGCCAGACTTACGAGCGTCGAGCAATCCAGGAATGGCTAGATCGGGGTAACTCGACTTGTCCGATTACCCGCCAGACTCTACATAGCACTCAGCTGCCTAAAACTAATTATGTGCTCAAGAGGCTCATAGTGAGCTGGCAAGAAAAGAATCAGGGTCCAGTCCTACATCAGTCCGATAATCATCGCGTTGTAGAAACCGATCATCATGAGCCGATGGTCAAGTCTGTAGTTCCTGCAACTTATCCTAATAGTGTCATAAGCCAGGCCGCAATGGATAGAACCATCAATGAGTTACGCCAAGCGATTACTAATCTTTGTATGTCTGAAATTCTCTCGGAGTCGGAAAAGGCTATTCTACAAATAGAGAGATTTTGGCAAGATATGAATATAGAAACTGATATTCTTGCAATGCTCTCGAAACCTCCGGTAATCAATGGATTTGTGGAGATCCTTTTCAATTCTGTGGACCTACAGGTGCTGAAAGCCACCTTTTTTCTCCTGTGTGAACTTGGTTCTAGAGATGAAACCGTGATCCATACGCTTACCCGAGTTGACTCCGATGTCGAACGTATTGTTGCTTTATTTAAGGAAGGGCTGGAAGAGGCGGTTGTGTTGATATATCTGTTAAGACCTTCAATTACTGGCCTAGTGGAGATGGATTTAGTGGAATCCCTTCTAGCAATTATAAAGGGAAGAGGTGAAGATTCGATTAAAATGTGCTTGAAGCCGAAAACAGCTTCTGTTCTCTTGTTGAGACAAATTCTTCAGAGCGATGAAGAGAATGTTGCATCTTCCATTATCGGGACAATTGTTTCTTTAAAAGTGATTGAAAATGTTGTTGGCAGCTTGGAAGCTGAATGGGCAGTTGAGAGGATTGCTGCAGTTGGTATCTTGCGAAGATGCATACAACAAGATGGTAAATGCAGAAACACTGTCGCTGATAAAGCTCAGTTGGCCCCAGTTCTAGAAAACTTCATGGCCACAAGCGATGCGAATAGATTCGAGATAGTTTACTTTCTTTCCGAGTTAGTCAAGTTAAACAGGTACATTCACATTTCTTGTTAATGAATACTGAATCAACGCTTGCATGAATGAATTTTTTATTATATGGTTTTCTCCAGGAGGACATTCAATGAGCAAATTCTCAACATTATCAGGGATGAAGGTGCTTTTAGTACAATGCATACTCTCCTTGTTTATTTACAGACAGCGCTCCAAGACCAATGTCCCGTTGTGGCCGGTCTCCTACTCCAACTTGATCTTCTGGTTTGGACTTAAGATCTCCCTCAGAGTTTAACATATAATAAATCTGCATCTATTAGGCTTTCGCAATGGCTTAGATCGTTACATATTTGAAAATGTACTGTGAAGTATGATCATTCAGTAATAAGACCATCTCACTCTGCAGGTTGAGCCAAGAAAGATGAGCATTTATCGTGAAGAGGCCATCGATACCCTCATTTCATGCCTCAGAAATTCAGAATTCCCTGCTGCTCAAATTGCAGCTGCAGAGACAATTGTTTCGCTTCAGGGAAGATTCACAACCTCTGGGAAGCCCCTCGCTCGGCCTTTTCTTCTAAAACATGCCGGACTTGAAAAAAATTACAGAAAGCTCATGCGGATGGAGCAGCTACACAACAATAGTGGAGACTTTGAAGATATATCTGTGAGTGATTTCAAAAGTGATTACATACTTTTTTTCATTCCTTTTTCCTTTTGCAACTTTTATCGGCAATGGTAACAACAGGAAGAAGAGAAGGCAGCTGATGCTTGGGAAAGAAGAATGGCCTTTGCTTTAGTAAGTCATGAATTTGGTCTGGTCTTTGAAGCTTTAGCAGAAGGGCTGACGAGTGAATCTGCAGAGCTATGGTCAGCGTGCTTCGTGGCAGCAACATGGCTAGTGTACATGCTTGGTGTTCTTCCAGACACCGGAATAAGAGGAGCTGCCCGAGTCTGCCTACTCAAGCACTTTATCTCAACATTCAAGTCTTCAAAGAACATTGAAGACAGAACACTTTCCTTGTTGGCTTTCAAAAGCTTCGTTCATGACCCTGGTAGGTACTAATTTTTGCAGTGTAAAAAAAAAAAAATTGGTTCATAGGTTCTTTCAAACTGCATGTGCTCTGAAGCTTGTTAACCACGCAAGGTTATCTGAATTTCAGAAGGATTGCGTGATCTGACTTCCTATATGAAGCACATTTTGAAAGGTTTGAGAGAGCTTAGAAAATCCTCCCAACTGGCATTTGAAATTATGAAACTTCTCTCTGAAGAACAAGATTGCAGTTCTGTAAGCGTGTTAAACTTCTGAATCAATAGTTCCATGAAAAGAAGTGAAAGTACCAACTTAAACTTATCTATTTCTCTTGTGCTGTAGGACTTGTGGAATCATAAAGAATTAGCTCAAGTAGACTCTTCTGAAAATGGAGAAGTATTGTCAATTGTTAGTTTCAAAGACAAATTCTTTTCAGGCCATACCGATGGAACTATAAAGGTAATCTTCTGCTCTAATTTGTAGATAAGTAGGTTGATTACGTATTCAATTATACACAAATACGTAATCAACCTTCATTTTGGTCATTCTTCAAATGGTGTTTATTCATGGGGAAATTACAGCTCTTCTTTGACTATATATTTCTTGGAAAATCATGTTTTAACTGAAAACTTCTTTCTTTCTGAAATTGTACCATTGGAAGAAGGTAATGGAACTTGAGTTTTGACCGTTATGTTTAAAATTTTGAAGGTCTGGGTTGTTACAGGGAGCAATCTTCATCTTGTCCAAGAAATTCGAGAACATACCAAGGCTATTACGAGCTTATATATTCTACAATCTGGGGAACGGTTATATAGTGGTTCACTTGATAAAACTGCAAGGGTATCCTCTTATGCTTCTTCTAGTTTACATCCACTGAAGGGTCAAACTGATAGATTCTGTTTGCAACGAACAGGGTTGGTCCATCAACAATGAAATAATACATTGTGTACAAGTACATGATATGAAGGATCAGGTTCATAATTTAGTTGTTGCCAACAGCATTTCTTGCTTCATTCCCCAAGGAGCCGGTGTTAAGGTATCCAATCATTCCATGCTTCATTTTTAGTAGTCACCCCCTATTCTTTTAGCTTTTTCTGCATCTGAAGAAGGGAAAATGAGTTTAAGTTCTTTTTGTTTACCCCTTTCAGGTTCATGCATGGAATGGACAATCAAAATTATTAAATCAAAATAAGTACATCAAGTGCTTGGCTCTTGACCAAGGAAGATTATATTGTGGATGCCATGATAACAGTATACAGGAACTTGATTTGGCATCAGGAACACTAAGCAGCATTCAAAGCGGTTCAAGAAAATTACTTGGCAAAGCACACCCGATCCATGCACTCCAGGTTCACAATGGACTGATATATTCAGCCAGCACTGCCTTAGATGGAGTAGCGGTGAAGGTTCCTTTCCTCTTTCTGCTATCGGCTATCCCTTCCCTTCCATCTTTATCTTCTCTTCATTTTTATGACAAGCAATGGCTTTTTGACTTGCTTTTAATTCTGTTTTTCCTTTTCTGAAAAGATTTGGAGCACTAGAAATTATAACATGGTGGGATCGTTGCCGACGTCTTCGGAAGTGAGGTGTATGACAATAAGCTCGGAGCTGATATACTTGGGATGCAAAGGAGGAATTGTGGAGGTCTGGGATCTGAAAAAACAAACCAGAATTGAAATACTGCAAGCAGGAACTAATGGTAAAGTTCTTTGCATGACTCTTGATCCCAATGAAGAAGTTTTAGTTAGCGGAACATCTGATGGCCAAATTCAGGTGAAAAAACAACAATTCTATGCTTCAAACTTACAAGCATTCATTGAAGTTGAATCCTTTGCATTAACCATCAAAGCTTATTTGCTCCGCAGGCATGGGGATGGAGTTAAAAAGCTGAGACAAGGAGGAAAAGAAAGCTGTAAAAAGTATGGAGAACACATTGATTATAGAATAATTTCGAAGCATAACAATTCCACTGAAAATATTTTCTTGAAGTTTGCATGTTACCTGTACCAAGTTGATTTGTTAGTTTTGATCACAATTAGTAAATTCTTTAGCATTGTACTGTATACATACATAAATTAATATATATATATATATATATTAATGTAAATTTCATCTGATCCTTGGCATTTTGGAGCAAATTCTAAAAAGAAATCTGGAAGTAGCAATTTGGAAAATAAAGTGATTATATATATATATATATAAACCTTGAAAATGTTTCCTTGAAAATGAAATATTAACCGAACAACAAAGCCCAGGAACAAATCTTGCCGCTCCCGCTTTTCAAATTGGAGAAGTTAAAACTCTACGACTTCACATTTCCGGCAATCTTGTTCGTTAAAAAGAAAAAAACCCATTAAAAAGAACTTGTAAAAAAATGGATTCTATAGCTTTAGCGGTGGAGAAACTAAAAGGGTTCGCTGAAGACTTGGTTAAAGGCCGTCCATCTTCATCTCGCCGCAATCCTGTATAAAAAAATATCCCATTTTTTTTACTCTTTTCTTTCGTTTATCTCCGACTTCTTCTACTGATTTTAGCCTTTATTTGTGTTTCTGTTTTTAAGATTGAAATCTTGAAGCGGCTACAACGAGAATCATTCTCGAGCTTGATGAAACTCCGAGACCGACAAGACAAAGTCGAACGTTTACTTTCATTTTACAAAACTTCAAAGGAAAATCCATTCCGAGAATCAATAACCCTTTTGAGAGGGGAAGTCGATTTTCTTGGAGCCGTATTGTTCATGTCCGAGGTTGACGAGGAACATTGGGGTGGGGTTGGTCGGGCAGGAATCGGAACTGGGGTTGATTCCAGGTTTAGATTTGAAACAACTGTTGGGGATAAAGATTCTGTTGGGATTGAATTCGTGGCTGATCGGAAAAGGGTTGCAAGTATTGATGGTGATATAAATGGGACTCCACTTTCTCTATCTAAGTTGTTTTATAAAGCAAATGCTACTAATTGGTTTTCTGCCATTGCTATTCCATTTGGAGCTCAGGTTAAAGATCTGGATGTCGCCTCGGACCTTCAGGTATAATTTACTAGACCTCGGATTACATAGTTTGGATTACAAAGTTCTGACCTTTGCGATTTCTTAATGCCTTCACTACTGTCTAAACTGAACTGTGCAAACTGTTCTTTTCGCTGCATTTATTTGTATGAATTTTACTTCAATTACTGATCAGACTCCATAAATGATGTGAACTTTGTACGTTTTTGTTGTCGTCTTGGAACTCTTTTTTCTGTATTAACCTGGATTCTTTTTTCTGTACAGGATGAAAAGGGTCTCACTGGTTTATCATTGGGGCCACCCCTGTTGCATCAGCAAACTGGAAGTTCAATTGGGGTGACAATGAGGATGTCAAATATCTTTGCTTCGCTGGCTCAATCTGTCTCTGGAATGAGAAATGAACATTGCTTGAGTACTTTTGGACAAGTTGTTTGTCAACTTCCATTAGGATTTAAACTTTCACTTTTAGGCCTTCACCGAGGGCCTAAATTGGCAGGTCGTAATATTCATCTTGGAGCACTTGCTATTCCTGTTGGATTTTCTAGGCCTCTTGAAGATGCTTACACAACTGATGATGAAACATCTTCTCCACCTTTGACAACAAACAACCTGGAATTCGGATCTATTGCCCTGAAGTTGGAATCAGAACTTGATGCATACAAAAGACTTTCTGGTTGGATTGAGATGAAACAAGAAACTCCAAAACATTTTGAATGGGCTGTGAATTTCTCTGATACTTCTGAAGATGTGTATGGTTGGGGTGTGAGTCTTGGCGGAGTTGAAATTCCAGGAAACTGTGGTCACTTTCAGGTTGAATCCTATGTAAAATTTAACCCAATTAAGACATTTAGTTTGAAACCAGGCATGGCATATATAGTAGATGGAAATTCCCAAACCGTGGCCATTGTGCTTTGGTCTAACTGGTCCCTCTGATTTTGTTTTAGTAGGTCCAAGTTTTTCTGGAAATTTCTTTTAGGAGGTTTTAGTTTTTCTGGAAGTCCATATGTTTTGGAGAAGTTCAATATTCATTTCAGGTATATAGCTTGCTATATATACCATATTTCAGATAAAACGATTGAAAAGTATAGTTTTGCCAACTTGTTGGAGCCATTTCCTTGTCATTATTAGACAAGAACATACATACTCCATACTGATGTCTATCTAACATGAATTTAAAGTTTTATTGGTTATGCTAATGAGCCACTTACAGTTTGAATTTTACATATAGTCTTGCACCTAGTGAATCATCAAAAGTTCAATTCCATAGTTCAGCCAATTGAAATCTTTTGCCTGTTCCAGGAGGTTGTTGGTTTATACCTGATAGGTTCATGTAACTTCACTAGGATCAGTCGATAGATATGTTTTCCAGGAAGCTAATTGTTAATGTTCCTCAAGCAACAAGCCATGACTGAAATTTCGGGGTGAAGCTTTTTTGTCAAAAGGGTTAATAATGTGGATGTGGACAATCAGGGAAAATTAGCACATGTGATTTTACATACTTCACCAAGGAATATAGGTTTGATTGAAAATTACAAAGTTCTGTTACGGAGCTAAATTCCAGGCACTAGGTTTTCACTCTTAGCTTGTTGCTTGATAAATTTTAGTTCAGGTATTAGTCACGGGTAATGTGAAATGTTATCACATACACGATCTAGTTTGTATCAACTCTGATACTATATTGTTACCTTATTTGGTGGGCAACTACCCAATAAGAAAAAGTTGTATGTCTACAAAATCAGTCCAGCTGGTTCTTTTCTGTTGTCCTGGTGGCATTAGGTTGCTTGATTATGCGCTAATCATTTTCGGAAATCCTAATGATTGAGGGGGATCTTCCAGAGCTGCTTCAGTTGGTATTAGACCTTGGTTGGAATTGCAAACAGGATTTTGTTACTGCAGTAGTAGCTTATATTGAAGATGGAGCTGGATGATCATTTTCCAGATTCATATTGTCCTTGAGCTCTTCTCTGTATACATGACAAACAAGCACTCATTTACCAGTTTTCCCAAGTCATGGTAGCTGCATGGAAGATCAATCGCCGAACCTTGCCACTGGCACAGCGACAACATGGGATTCTGATGGATATGACTATCATAAAAGTTAAATGCAGCAACGGAGAAACCGAAGGTATTATTAACATATTCATTGATGATATCCTAATAATATGGAATCTATGACCTGATAGTAGTCTGATACTATTGCTTTTGTCTGTTTGGTGCTTGACCTTAGTGAGAAAGGGCTTGGCACTCGTTCCCAGAGGTTCGTTCTCTTGACTGACTACCTCTAGGTGAGGACTGTGAATATCGAAGCGGGAGGGGTGGGCACCGTCTCCTGTGCCGATAAGATCCTTAAAGCAGTGCTTTAGAGTTGCTTTATCCATAGGTTATCTCGTTTTTTCCAATGGAATTCAGGTCATCTTCATAAACAACCCTTGGTCTTTAATCTTTATAGTTTTTACTAACATGGATTTGTTTTTCGTAGTGGTTATAGCAATAATAGGTACTTCTCGTGTGTTATGCTCAGATTTTAAGTTTTGTTAACAGTAACTCCGATTTAGATCTTTTCACGGTTGAGTAACATCCCTCGAGTCGAGTCAAATTTTTCATGCATAGAGATATATCAGAATCCAATGAATTTATAAATTTTTAATATCTAAAAGAAACAATAAATATTATATTCAACATTCAAATGTGCCTTTTTAGATTCAAGTTATTTGGTTTGGTGGGTGCCAAAACGAGGGAACTTTTTGTCTATGGAGTGGATTTAGACACTGTAACTACTCTCAGCGATGAATTTGTCAACATCCTGTGTACGTTTGTAATCGAAAATAGGGTAAACTACATGTTTAATACCTAAACTATCACTTTTGTTCTGTTTTAGTATTAAACTTTTTTTTTTCTTCTCAAAATTATACCTAAAGTTTAGTTTAGGTTTCAATTTGGTACTCCATTAAAAACTTGATGGCCCTATGATGTGGAATTTACATTACAAAGATGTGTGGAATACCGAAAAAGATAAAATAATTTCACGTCATCATTGCCACTAAGTTTTTACCGATGGGTATCAAACTGAAATCTAAACTAAATGTTAGGTATGATTTTAAAAAAAATAAAATTTAGATATTAAAATAGAATAAAAGTGATAATTTAAGTACTAATCATTTAACTTACCCTAGAAAATATCATGTTCAGATTTTTAACGATGGGTATCAAACTGAAACCTAAACTAAATATTATTAGGTATGATTTAAAAAAATAAAATTTAGATATTAAAATGAAACAAAAGTGATAATTTAGGTACTAAACATTTATTTTACCCTAGAAAATATCATGTTCAGATTTTAAATTTAAAACTCCTACAAGGTAGTATATATTCATAATATTCCTTAATTTATTGGCATCACATATATACTCTACAAGCGTAGCTGTTCGAACCTAGATCTTATTGGACATTATTTTTTTAATACCGAGACCACTCAATGATATTCTTTTTAAATAACAACACGAAATGACTTAATAAAATCATGAACATATAAAGATAATTTTATCATTTTAATTTATTTTCCTAAATAATTATTTTAACATCCCTAAACCATTAAATATTTTATTTTCTTATTATTTCCCTAAAACCCTTCCTCCATTTTATTATTATTCTTTCAATCCATAGATCCATTTTCAGTTTCAAGTTATGGTACAATTCAAAGGTAGGTTAAAACAAAGCTGCTACCTTGAATTTTCAGGAGAGAGATTAATGCCAACCAACGAACCCTTCCTAACTTTACCATTAAACATAAATACATCAAAACACAAACTCACGATCCCCAAACGAGATCTGACGATTTTTTTTAAAAAGAAAATTGGTGACCCCAACAACAAAAAAGCTGATAAAGAACCATGGTGGTGGGTAATTATATGAAAATGAGGTTAATATATTTTATCGTTTGCAATAGGTTGTATGCGTATGTTTGAATATGAACAAAAGACACAAGTCGACATAGCATATGTTAGTGTAATAAATTAAACGAGTCTAATGGCCTCATTCGTTTCAAGAAATCTTTTTTAAAATTGGGGGGTTTACAAGGAATCCATTTCTTTAACAGTTACTGGTTTTCTTTTTTTTAATGGTTGTTGTTATCGTGTCTTTTATGTGGAACAGAGATGGAAGAAGACATTTGTTTAACATGCAAAATCAATTAACTTCATCAATTCCTTTGAACCTGCTGTTGAGCTTCTTCGAGTTATGTAAACACTACAGCTAATACAACTAATATAGTAATTTACTAAAGTTTTCGATGTTTGAAACTTTGAATTCCAAGCATCTTTCTTTAAATTTAAAAGCTCGAATAAACTTACAAAGAAGCTTATTTGTTTAATCATAAGAACCTGTGAAAGTAATAAAATATACTGTGGAAAATACAAGCTGGACACCAACAACGAAAGGGCGGGCCTGAACCTAATGTACCCGTTTGAAAGAGGGGCCCATTCTTTTTCTGCATTTCAATTTTTTTTTTCTGTTTAGATGTTTGAAATCTATCGATGTGGCCGATAAAGTGCTGCAACGCCATTGACCACAGATGATTACTTCTCTTATAAGCCTGATGTTTTCTTGAAATTACATCAACTATTTCATTTTCACAGTCCTCAACTCAACAACCCTTTCCTCTCTTGATTCTCATTTAACTTTGACTCTGAAGCAGCTAACTTTCTATATATTGCCGTTGTTGTAGTAGCATAACAATTATTCTACACGTCTCGGTTCAAATTGGGTAGCTTTTAAGAACGCCATGAGTGCTTCGAAGTTCATTAAATGTGTTACAGTTGGAGATGGAGCTGTTGGCAAAACCTGTATGCTCATTTGTTACACCAGCAACAAGTTCCCAACTGTAAGTTACCCCCATTTGCTTAAGACACTTGTGCTGCAGGACTAGGAAAGGGGTTTAAAGTTGTTACTTTTTCCCCTTTTCAGGATTATATACCAACTGTGTTTGATAACTTCAGTGCCAACGTGGCTGTGGATGGGAGCATTGTTAACTTGGGCTTATGGGATACTGCAGGTCTATAAACCTCCTGAGTTCTCCTTGGCCGCTTACTGGGATTTAATTTGATGCTCCATTTCTGATTTGTTTTTTTGGTTTTTCATCTGATTTAAAGGTCAAGAGGATTATAGCAGGCTAAGGCCACTGAGTTACCGAGGTACGGACATATTTGCCGTGGCTTTCTCGTTAATTAGCAGAGCAAGCTATGAAAACGTTCTCAAGAAGGTACCTTCTTCAATCAAGTGCTCGTTGGCTTTGCTGTTTTTCTTAGAAAAAAGACATTTTTAAGTGGAATCTTCATGAATAAAATAAAATTCAGTCAGGATCTGTTTTAGTTTGTTTTATACAAGCTCCTAATCTTTCTGTTTCGTCTGTCCGCAGTGGATGCCGGAATTGCGTAGATTTGCGCCTAATGTTCCCATTGTTCTGGTTGGAACAAAGTTAGGTAGGCAGCTGTTTTGAAACTTTGATCATATGATGCTCTGCATTTATGCTTGTTTGAATAGATGGAGTTCGTGAATAACATTGAATTATGTCTCTATATATAAATCAGATCTTCGGGATGACAGAGCATATCTTGCTGATCAAATGGGGTATGATATTATAACATCTGCTCAGGTATCCATTTCTTAAGTTCGACTCGATTCAAAATTCATTTGCCGATACTATTTTGCCTATTTGGCATGAACCTAAGCAGCTCCTGTGGATCATGCTACATAGGGAGAGGAACTGAGGAAACAAATTGGTGCAGCAGCCTATATAGAATGCAGCTCCAAGACTCAGCAGGTGAATTCCGTGTCGTTTATATTAAGGCTCGGACCGTTGCCTTTTCAATGAATACAACTTGATGTTTGTCGACTTTCTCAGAATGTCAAGGCCGTTTTCGATACTGCAATCAAGGTTGTTCTTCAACCCCCAAGGAGGAAGGAGGTGGCAAGGATGAGAAGGCGCCGAAGGTCTGGCTGTTCGATCGCGTGAGTAGCTCATTCCTTCTCTTGTTCGGACTTTCGGCTGCTTAAAACATATTCTCATCACACCTGAAAGGATTACTCTATTAATCTTCACTTATCAGTACCACTGAAACCAATAATTCGGTTAGGTTACAGAATCCAGATTCTAGTAGATTTTGGAAACATGATCGGAATTAAAGGGTAAAATCATGCTAATTCTTTGGGAGCGTGCCCTG